GGCCCGAAAGGACCCGTATCGGCACTCGTAACGATGAGAGGAATGACACCGAGACCAATGATTTTCGGCATGCGATCATAGCCCTTTGGTAATGGTGCACCACAAGCGAAAGCCTGTGCTGCCATGCCGCCGGTCTCGGCAAGAATCACTGGAGTAATCGCAATTAGTGGTGGTCTTACTTGGTACATCTATTGGAATGCCACTTTGAATATCTTATTCTAACGAGCACTCTCGTGGGAATCATATGGACACTGTATTTGATAAAAATGAACTACAGAAATAGATTGAATACAAGACTTACCCACTTCTCGTCGAGGTTCCCGCTCGCGTACTGTCTCCAACAAAACTTTCAGGCTGGCTGTGCGTGAAGGGATTGCCGATACTATAGGACAGTTAACTTGATCAGCGACCGGAAATGATCAGGTTTTACAGTTCGAAGGCTCTCTCTGCGCGGACACGTAGCTGAGGTCCAGAGACACTTACAGAAAATGTGTTCAAGATCAAAGAACGTTCTTTCGGGTCCGAATGGCAGCTTTGATCGCGCCTCTTGAGACCCTGCCGACCAGAACGGAGAACACTCGAACCACTCAGCTCCAATCTTTTCCACCGCAGCCTTACCGTCCGTCGAAGACATGAAAGCTACATCGTAGCCTTTACTGATCATCTCCTGAGCAAGATGCAGCGGGGGCCCAAGGCTATAGCGAAAGGTGTCAGCTATCGACCGTTCATAATACAAGAAACGGGTATGAAGGTCTTTGGCCGTCGTGAAGATTGAATTTGAATGATGTGGTACACGAATCTGGAAGAACATAAAGCTTAGGGTATACTGACTGGCCTGCCAGCGGTGCAGTGGTGAAGACGAGCAGCGGCAGCTTCTTGGGCTGACCCAGAGACAGGGGCGTCTCGTGTCCCCGATGAGCAACCATTTTCAGAGATTGAAATCCGAAGCGTCTAAAGAGAGCGGAACGTTGGCGAAGAGGGCAAACGATCGTGTATGATATATATCGATCATATATCGATCCTCAACGATAGGTACTGCTGGATGTGCTGGTCGGAGTCTTGTGACAATCTAAGACTATGTGCAACGGACGAGAACCCATGTATTATTTAAGTCTGACTTTGTCATGTTTCGCATGCAACTAGCTCGCAAGCGATCGGGAGCCAGTCTACTTCGCCGCAATGCTCGTACATTGCTGCCAAGGGATGACAACCCGTCAGGCTGCCCTCCATCCGCACCAGCCTTGTGCCCCCTTACACCCGTTGCAGCCCCTCGACATCGCATCGGCGGTCGATCTCTGCCGAGCCTGATCTCCGGGGATGTAACAAATAGAACGCTCTCATAGGTGTACATCAAGAGCATCACCCCACGCGACTGCAAGGGTTGCCGTGAAGCCTGGCCAGAGCCTGGCGAGCTGGCAGGATGATGCCGCGCGGGTCTTACATCAGCACTACCCCCATGACTGTTGGGGCGGTGAGCGAGATAAGCGCTATGGCTCCGAAGCGGCTCAACTGCTATCCGCATGGGTCTCTGGAATAACAGATACAAGAAATCCTCTGCTAGAGGACAGCTCTCGTGTATCTCATCGCTCTGATTGGATAGCTTCGGTCGAGCTGAAGAAATTGGGCGACTCGCAAGTGTACCACCCACGCGAATTGTCACGTTTGATCTTCAAAGCCCTTGCTCCAACTTAGGCAAGGTACATTGAACAATTCCCCATCCCAAGTGTTTGGGTGGCATCAGAGTCAAATAGTGAGGATCACTGCTGACACCAGATGCGATGCCGATTGGGTGTTGTACTTGGGAAGCACATAGCAGATTCTATGGAGTCCAGTTGTCGAGGTTATCTATTTCAATCCTCCTGCTTTTCTGGTGCATTGCATGAGGAGACACATGCATGCTTGGAGAAGATAGCAGGGGGCGGGACTGAATTATTCACCTATTAATTACGTTCAGCCCTATCTTGGCCGGGGGCCCCGATCCCACCACTGCAAGCAAGATGGAAGAAGATAGGAGTGGCTTTTCACCATCAACCACAATGAAAGTCCTACCAACAGAATTGAGGACTTTGCGTCCGTTAGCTCTCCCTCATGAAGTTCATACCCGATTATTAGACTTGAACAAACGCTCGACCTAATCAAGGGTTGATGCAAGCACAACCTATCTTGAGATTAAATGCACGTAGCGATGTGCTTTATATCCTCCATCATCTTAGACGAGCACATTACGTGCTGGAGGAAACGGGGGAACTTGCCTTGAGGATTCTGTACATGGAAACAACTATGTTGGTAAGGATACACAGTTGACATGTCTTCATACCTACCTCATGTAGTGCATATCCAATCACAACAACTCTACGCCTATGCAACTTCGCTTACACTCGTCCTTTATGTTACACCAGGATGGTGCATTTGCCGCCCCCTAAATTTCTATAGACAGGGCAGACCGGATGCTATTTTCGATCGTCTCATGTACGTGATGGCAGCTCAAGTCTGCAGCTTTTGTAATACCGACGGCTTAAAGGCGTACCTATTGCTAAAACTTCGGGGCTTTTCTCACCTTGAAGCGTGGCTCTATCATTGCTTCCACTTGTTTATATGCAACCTGGTCAGTGATATAAAGAATACCATTGAGTTGGTAGATAAGCCTAGTCAGTAACCAAAGTGTTTTCAGACTGCTTACAAGGCCTGAGCAGACCAGCATGCTATTGCGACGCTCGAGCAATTACATGGAGTGTTCCATCACAGGGGTTTTCCAGCTATTCTTGAATTCGAGCTCTTATCGAGAGGCAATCCGGGCAGCAAAGGAGTCAATATTGCAACCCTGGGGCCGACTTATGCTGAGCTAAATGAGGCATGCAGGTAAGGATGTTAACATCCAGCCTGCCTCCTCTCTCTTCAACACTTGAAAACGGACCCCAATTCCTGTGGTAGGACAGCAGAATGGCTATGGATCTGCCGTGTAACTTATCGGATTATCATCCGTTATCAATCACGGAGGCCTAAAGTTGCGGCCTTCAATGAACGTTGGAGATTTCGAACTCACCAGACGTGATGGACGTTGAGGCTGGCTAAGCGAGCTACCAGCGTCTCGAAGCAAAAGGGGGCCTCTCGGATTGGAGAGACTGGGCGTAGGTAGACCAGCAATTAATGGAACGATGCGCCTCATGCTGGATGAATGAATCAATTCACGAAAGGGGATGAAGCCGCCTTTAGCATCTCAGGTATCGAGGACAATGTGATTCCCAGCAATCATGGAAGCAAGGAATCGCGAAGAACAAGCCAGCCTTGTCGGGCGTTGCAAATCCCTTTACACGGAGCGGCCTAATCAATGATGCCAAAGGGAACTTGATCTTCCCTCACCGAACACCGTATCATTATGTTTCAAAAGCTCGTCATTCAAGTGTTTTCTCTTTATCGACAAACCAGGGGAGTTGCCATTGACGCTAGCCCTTTAAACTGTGTTGTACCACAGGCCTTACTATTACACCCGAATGCATGGAAATAAGACAATTAGTTAAGGTAAGCAAGCATCGATTTGCAAGTCCGCGCGCGAGGTTTTTAAGGGTCGCGGCATCTGCACGCGCTAAGCAAATGCCGCGGAGGTTCCATAGCTTGACTAATCGTGCATAAGACGTAATGGGATACCAATGCTAAGACGTAATGGCAGAAGACCAACATGGTAAATGTCGTCATGAAAATGTCATGTACAAATAGTTTCTGCTTGATATCAACTCCAAAATTGTATTCCTCGTAAGGATCAATCGACTCTACTGTAAGGTCATCATGTCTTCAACGCCAGCTGCCTCTGTGGACGACATCGTCAAGCATGGATGGACGGCAGTGCCTCGTGACGCGAATGTCATATTCGGTGCAGGACCTAAAACAAAGCCAACGGCAATAGATGCATCCGACATCACTTTCCCATCCGATGACCCTATCGTCGCAAAGGTGCAACAATACGCCAAGGAACATCTATCGGAACAGACTTATAACCACTCCATGCGTGTGTATTGTTGGGGCAAGTTTGATCTATTTCATAGGCCAGCTGCGAAGAAAACATAATCTGCTAACATATGCGTAGGGGTTTCAATCATCAAGGATCAGTTCCCAGAAGATGGTAGCAAGCTGTCCTTGTCAACTTGGGCATTAGCCTGTTTACTTCATGATATCGGCACCACGCACGACAACTTGCGGGCGACGTGTAAGTACCTAGCTCACGGAGTCTCTTCCTCGAGATTTGAAGTGTGCTAACTCTACACACTGAAGTGCTATCATTCGAGTTCTACGGTGGTATCCTAGCGCTCAACCTTGTCAAAGAGGTAGGCGGACATATTGCACAGGCAGAAGCCGTAGCGGAGGCCATCATTCGCCACCAAGACTTGGGAACGGTCGGGACAATCTCACTCCTCGGCCAGATCATCCAGCTTGCGACAGTATACGATAATATGGGAGGCAACCCAGGCCTCATCGATGAAGCGACTCGCATCAGTGTTAACAAAGCATACCCGCGAAAGGGTTGGAGTGGGTGTTTCTCCAAGACTATTAGAGAAGAGAATGGCTTGAAGCCATGGGCCCATACCACTCATCTCGGAGAGGAAGATTTCCCTGAAGGTGTCAGGAATAATAAACTTATGGCCGATGTTGATGACTGGGGTCTTTAAGTGGCGGATATGGACATCAATAATACCAAGAGCAAGATGTTTGCGATGAGAGATGCAAGGAAGATACCTAAGTCAGTATGATAATTGTGTAATAGTCGTATTCAATACTCAATATCTACCGTTCCCTTCGCCTGCTGGATAATGAGCGAATTAATGTTCTATTCGTAGACGGATGCAAATGTGGATGTAGATGTCACAAACTGCATGAGGATGGATGCATGATTTCATATACGAGAGAAAAAAACAGCAACTACTGCTCCAAATTAAAAAATGAACATGGAGATAATTGTCTTTCCTCTACAGGATGGGAGTCGAAGGGGAAAAAAACATCAAAAGAATTAGTCACGCCGTGGATCGAACACGGAACCTTCTCGGAACTTGAACACAATTGTTTGTGAACGAGAAATCATAACCATTAGAACACGCGACTTGCGTTTCGCAACTTGTTGTTGGCTAGCATGTAAAGTGGGATTATATCCCGCATGCCGGCTATTCGTCGGCAGATCGGTCGTTTAGTGGGCGGCTATGAGATTCCCGTGTCAATCAGCAAGCCACGGTTAGGTAGGTAGGTATTAGTGTCTGTCCTACTAATCATAACGGCCACTTCGACGGTCAACAAAAGATTATCCATGCTATGTTCAGCTATTCCCTCTGGCGTTAGTAACCAGTCTGAATGGTGGTTGACAACGGCATAGGTAAATGTACAAAGGTAAGGTTGGGTACGATGGCTTCACGTCTGTACCTCCCTGACCTTAACTAATGCCGTTCGTGCAGGTGATCCGAGGTCGCGTCCACTCCACCTGCGTCTGGGTTCCAATCCATACACAGCCACATCGTCCAGCGCCACATCATCTGGCAGCTAAGCCACACTTAGCTGGGACCGCCCACCGATTTTTCGGAGCATTTTCTTCATGTGCAAGCATAAATGACATCATCGCTGCAAGCTTAAGCTCATCAAGTCAGCATCCCTGCTGGCGCTTCCAAGCCAGGGGAGACCGGGTCTTGAATGTCCAGAGAAGAGAAACAGGGAAGCTTTAAGCCCTGCAAGACACCAGCTGTTACGTCGTCATTGGGCAACGGTACTAGACTGTTGCGCATTGATGTTTCAGAGCAGCCTGATGAACCAGTGCTCGCCTGTCTTGGCCCTGTCAAGCCGTGTGATATATGCCCTCCCATTGCGTCGCGCTCTGTGATCGAGACCCGAGGCCGCCTACACCCTCTCTTCCCGCAATCCACAATCCAGTCAACCCCAGTCACGCCAAAGCCTGAGCCTTAATTCAAAAGGTCGACCCGTATCTCTTCGCTCTGCATACTCCTGAGTCTATTGCACAGATCCATCCCTCGAGATCGACCACCAACATGGCGAGTGCAGTGGCCCAATTCGCTGCCAAGCGAATCTTCAAGGAGTCACTGTCAAACAAGTCTGGGCTCGAGGTAAGTTGTCTGTCATGTTCGCGTTCGAGTCTAACGCAGACCAATACTATTACTGTTAGAGCAGCAAGCCTAACGAACATGTTTTCTTCATCAGGATGTATACTTCGAGCAGGTGCCCGCAACTCGCCTGGACGGCAATCCGAACCAGAAATTCAAGAAAGTCCGAAAGGCTCTTCCACCGGGCCTCACCGACCATGACGCCAAAATTCTCACAAAGGTCAAGAGGAGAGCATACAGACTCGACATGAGCTTCGGCAGTTTCATGGGCATAAAGTTTGGTTGGGGCAGCGTAATTGGTATTGTGCCGTTGTAAGTCTTCTTTACTATGGCCTGATGTCCCTTTTCCACTGCAGCTTTGCTGACCTTGTTGACCTAAAAGCATCGGTGACTTTGCGGATGCGCTCTTGGCTATGATGGTTATTCGCACCGCCAAGGGAATCGAAGGCGGATTGCCGAGCAACGTGCTACTGAACATGTACATCTGGGTAATCATCGATCTCATCGTCGGCTTGACACCGTTGATTGGCGACTTATTCGACTGCGTGATTCTGGCCAATACTCGAAATGCCAAGTTGTTGGAAGACCACCTCCGTAAGAAGGGGCAGAAGAGTTTGAAACAACGCGGCCTCCCCATTCCAGAAGTTGATCCCAGCAAGCCATCCGAATTCGACCGTTTCCACTCGGAAGCCTCTACCTCGCCCCGCCACAGTCCCCAGACTAGTGGCGTTGCAGCGCCTGTCACGCCAACGCGCCCTCAGGAAGCCAGAGTCCACGACAGTCGGCAGAAGGAATCCAGTGGAGGCTTTTTCGGCTTCGGCGGCAAGAAATCAAAGCCCGCCGATATCGAATCTGGCGCGGGACCATCGCGCCAAGCTCACGCTGCAAAGGAAAGTCGGCGGGGCTAGTGGCAACGCCGCTTGTCCTCTGGACAGAGACCCAGCAGTGATGACGAACGCGCTTTGAATGAGCCTGGAGAGGGTAACGGGAACTGAAGCTTACAACACAGAGAATTCACAGCGCCTTGGGACGAGTCACGATTGCGTTTAGCGTTTACGGCATCTCTAATGACGAAGGCGAAGGGCGCAGCACGAATGACCTAACGATCAATAATCGAAAAACACCAGATAGTAGTATGCCCAGAGTAATAGATACCCATTAGTTAATACAGTCTGAACGAATCCACAACCTCGGCCAGTTCTGTAGCGTGCATGATGCAATGGTAAATAGATGAGTCAAACTGCATTAGAGTGCACGGTCGCTCTCAACATGGGACCCATCATACAGAGTACCTATAATGGTGGCATGCCGCATACAGGCTCGGCAGGTAAGAGACGGGAGGCATTGCCCGGATACTTTGTAGAATTAAAAAAAACCCAAGGGTTCAATGGGGTAGCAGATCCATAAACACCAACATTCGTATGACACACCATTGACACAAGATTAGATGCGGAACTCCGAGGGACAGGCAGCGATGGAGCAGCTGAGGGTGATTTGTTCTGTTGGCTGGTTATCTGATCTGATAATCTCCCTTGGCTACGTGGAGCGGCTCAACTAATGCACGTATAAGCGCGATGTAAGCCATCTCAAACCCAGTTCTGACGCGGAAACGCGGACATGATCGGTGTTTGCACAGGGAATGGCAGCTCAACATAGCTCTATCTGTTACCTAACATACTGCATACCGTGCGGCCAAAAGGTGGTGATGGGTGATGATGGATTGCAGATTGAAGGCTGGAGCTGTGTGCCCGGGCCGCCCTGATGTCGATGGCATCCCTGGCGAGGACGTGGTTCAGGGTTGGTGACGCCCTGGACTGTCGTGGATGGGCAGTGGATGCGCTGGTCGAGCGCGTTGAAAAGCAGATGGCGGGGCAGTCGAACGCGTCGTTTGGCGGGCGCAGGCGCGTTACCGGGCGGGCGGCTCCACCGCGTGATTTGGCGCAGAGGACGTGGTCTAAAATGCTTAAAAGGTTGCATTCCCGGGCCCTGCTAAAACACGCTCCAAAGCTGCATCTGCATCACCTTCAACCACGCACTCCTGCACTCTGCACTACCACTTTACGCGCATACATCTTCCCTCCTTTGGTGATCGGTTCAACTTGTCTCTGAGCTCTTTGTCTATACCCTCCAATCGTTCGCTCGACATCGCAATCCCACACAATGAACTCCCAAGTAACGCCCTCGAAAATGGTACATGACATGTTTGCCACTCTGCAGCACTTTATCTAGTGTCCAGTTGCGACTAACACGCCTTTCCCTGCAGGTTTCCTCGGCTATTGAGAACTTCAAGATCGAGTCGCCGGTAAAGAAGCTCGACTTCTCGGCCGACAACAAGGAGAACGCCGCTGCCGATGCCGACATCCACACCCTCGCCAGCCAGATCGACTCCTACAAAGCCCCTATGGAGAAGCCCGAAGCACCCAAGCCCGCCGTGGCTGCCGGCATCAAGGCCGAGGAGGCCGATGAGCCCCTCCTGCAGGAGAACCCTCAGCGCTTCGTCCTCTTCCCCATCAAGTACCACGAGGTGAGTAGCGCGTCTGTACACGCGTAAAGTGGCTCCACTCGACGCGACTTGTCACTTACATCCACCTCTCCCCCAGATATGGCAAATGTACAAGAAGGCCGAGGCATCTTTCTGGACTGCCGAGGAGATTGATCTGTCAAAGGATTTGCACGACTGGAACAATAAGATCAATGAGGACGAGAAGTACTTCATCTCACATATCCTGGCCTTCTTCGCCGCCTCAGATGGCATCGTCAACGAGAACTTGGTCGAGCGCTTTAGCGGTGAAGTCCAGATCCCCGAGGCTCGATGCTTCTACGGTTTCCAGATCATGATGGAGAACATCCACTCTGAGACCTACTCCCTCCTCATCGACACCTACGTCAAGGAGCCTGCCCAGCGTACCCATCTTTTCAATGCCATTGACACCAGTGAGTCTTGACCCCCCCTCCTATTACTCAGGTGTCTTTCTCTAACCGCGTTTCTTCAGTTCCTGCCATCCGCAAGAAGGCCGACTGGGCCCTCAAGTGGATCAGCGACCGCAACTCGACCTTTGCCCAGCGTCTGATTGCCTTTGCCGCTGTCGAGGGTATCTTCTTCAGCGGTGCTTTCGCCTCCATCTTCTGGCTCAAGAAGCGTGGTCTCATGCCTGGTCTGACTTTCTCCAACGAGCTCATCTCTCGTGACGAGGGTCTGCACACCGACTTTGCCTGCCTGTTGTTCTCGCACCTCAAGAACCGCCCTAGCAAGAAGGTTGTTGAAGATGTCATCGTTGACGCTGTCAAGATCGAGCAAGAGTTCTTGACCGAGGCTCTGCCTTGTGCACTCTTGGGCATGAATGCCAACCTCATGAAGCAGTACATCGAGTTCGTTGCCGACCGTCTGCTCGTCGCCTTGGGTAACGAGAAGGTCTATCGCTCCACCAACCCCTTTGACTTCATGGAGAACATCTCGCTCGGTGGCAAGACCAACTTCTTTGAGAAGCGCGTTGGTGAATACCAGAAGGCCGGTGTCATGCACAGCACAAAGAAGAACGGTTCCACCGAGGAGGCGACATCTCCAGATGCCCCTGCTCCTGTTGAGAACGACAACGGCGGCGACTTCACCTTCGACGATGACTTCTAAACGGATCGCCTCTTCTCTATATTGCTGTCCTGACTTAACGTCATCTGTTTCTGATCGGAAACAAACACCTCATGATACCCACTCCACACACCTCTTGACGATTAAAACACCACGACTCAATACCTGCCTTGTGTATATGGACGGCACTTTTCCCCTCTTTCTACCGCATGGCGTCGCACTATAGACTGAGAGGCCTGGCCCTGTCATATCTGCATTACTTGCGTCGTTGCGGTGGGTTTTCTCTTTTGTCATCAATGTCTGGATTAGAACTCATTGCTGAGCATTGCGGTTGTCTACAAAGAGGCGTCTGGGCGTTGGTGCATGGGATGGATGAATTGCTTTTGTGACTTGGGACCCGGAATTGGTCTCGA